AAGCATTCCTCTTCTCCTTTCTTCCAATGAAGAAAGAAAGAGAAGAACGCTTCGAAGCATTTGTAGCGTCAAGTGGACCGCAGCCTATATCATTCCTAATGATCCTAATATCATCATTCCTTCAGCAGCTGAGACACAGTTCGTAATGATAGACTTCGGACTGGCCCGAGTGGATTCCACGCTGGAGGACAAGGCCGTCGATCTGTACGTTCTCGAGCGATCGCTGCTCAGCGCGCATTCCGAGGTGCCGACGTTGTTCTCCCGTATCTTTCATCACTATCAACAGCATTATCAGAACAAGAACCAATGCGAGCAAGTGCTCGCTAGGTACAAGCAGGTACAAGAGCGTGGACGTAAGCGCTTGATGGTAGGCTAAAGCAGCGGAAGCGAAGATTATTCTGTCCTGAAGAAGATACGAAGCGTACAAATGTATTTTTTATAGCATTACGAGACGCCGAGTTTTGTATGTATGATTAAATGAAAATTGTAAATAGATACACACGTGACCGAGAACGAAATATGTGTAAGTTTGATCGCCATTCGAGTGGTTAGAATTAAGATACGTAAAACTTGAGAAGGTAAGAAGGTCTTCTTTATACAGATAAATCATATTTGTATGTAACAATATCATGTAACAGTATACGAGAAGTCAAGTATACAACGATATATCTATTGCGAGGGAATGACTATTGCATACGTATAATAAATTTGGCAGCAGCGATGAATCCGCGTGGAAAAGCTATTGCTCTTTATCCATGGTGTTGTCTTACAAATCAGTCAAAATGCAATCCCGAATATATGATGATCCAGGTCACCTGTTAACAAATAACAAAGTACAGTATGAAAGGGCGAGAGAGAGAGAAAGGAAATAAAGATCCATTGAGAGAAACATTGATTCTGCTGCGCTCACCAGAAAACCAGCGAACGAGGTCATGAATCCCTCTTTCGTCAACTCCCACATACCACCGTACTCTTCCTCATCGATTTGTTGGAAACTGCTAAAGTATAAATATGTAATTCCCGCATTGACTACTACAAATCTGAAACACAAACGTGGTGAGGACACGCATGAGTAACATCTACGATATTTACAAGCTGATTGTTAAAAGGCGATGATAAGGAACCCAACTGGAGTCTCTACTTACAACAACAGAGCTATAAAACCTTTTAGTGGTATAAGGCCCCATCCTATACCGACGATAATACCAATTGCCTGTCTTGCCCAGTATATCACGTCGAGAAATTCCTCCTGCGACAAAGGAAGAGGAAAAAATGTAGAGGCGTCAGGTCGGGGAGATTATTCCCTGTATCCCCTTATCGGGCACGGGTCACCGCGGCGCGCGAGGGTTATGTTTACCTTGTCCGGCCACTCGGAGTTGGCGGTGATCGCACGTGTCCACACGCTAACCTCGCACTTGGCCCCGTTCCCGTTCCTCTCCGTCCTCGTGCGCGACATTCTCGGAAGGCTCGCGATCTCAACTACGTGAATCACGATCTCGAACTACGCCGATTTACACGAGCATCGTCGCGTCAGCGCGCGGGGAGAGCCTGGCCTGCTACAACGTGTATCCGGCTATCCCGGGGCGAGGGTATTCCGCACTCCTCCACCTGCTCCCAGTGCTCCCAGCTCCCACCGACCCCACACCCCACCTTTCTTGTCGCCTCCAATTAGTAACGAGTGGTGAGACCACTGAGACCACGGCGAGCGAGTGCGCGCGAGAAAGATAGAAAAAGAGAGTACTCTGATTTCATTGTTCAACAAAAAGTATTTTTTCGAGCATAAGAACGAGGGTAATTATTTTTTTTTTGTAATTTTTTTTGATTGCTGAATGTGATCCCGTTTATCAAATTGTTATTATTAATAACATTAGCAAGCAATAATAAATAGCATGAAGCAATTAAAAAAGCATATAAAGCAATTAATATTATAGCGTAAATACCGTAAAAGGATGTTCCTATTTGTAAATTTCTTAATAAAATATTATTAATTATTTATTAGTACTGTGATTGTTGTTATTTAAAAATAATTTAATAAATAACTAATATCGTTCTTATTAACTAATTAAATTAATTTTTAAAATAATTTATTAATATATAATTATTTCTTAATACTACGATTGTTATTTAAAAATGATTACATTAATAAATAATTAATATCATTCTTATTAATAAATTTGTTAATAGGAGCATTCTTTTGTGCTATATATTAGTCGCTTTCGGCCACATCACGAACTATCCATTTTATTGTTATTATTATCTACTACATAATTCTTATTTTAAATACGTGATACCTTTGTCCTATATTTATTACTACAATTTATTACTATAATAAATAACTGCTGTAATCTTTGTACCAGCTACATGTGCGTTTTGGATCTGGAAAGAAGACAGATTCTATAAGCGAGTGGGAAATGAAAGTCACTCGAGTCTCTATACATGTGTGGTTACGAGTCTTTATTTTATTCATTATTAACGGATTATGTGTCGCGCTTCTATCAAGCTGTCCGGCAAAATAGATTGCAAATGTTAACATCGCTGGGGGATCGCTCGATTCCCGTTCGAGCGGGCGCAATGACGTCGAAGATATTAATATTCACAATATATTTCGTCTCGCATATATCTTTACCTCATTTCTTTCTCGCGCTCGTATGTATATATATAGAAGATGTATGTATAATGTCGTGTAATGCATACGGGGGGAATGTGTGTGTATCGGGGGAAGATTTAAATACGATATATCACACGCTACATTACACACGTCACGCACACGCACCTGCATCACTTTCCTTCGCTCCCTTTATACATCCATATGTGTGTGTCCCTCCATAAATATGTATTATATACACACATATACACCGAATGAGATTAACGCGACCCCGGTTCTAGTAAGTAACGCCATGGAATGAGAGATTACTGGCTGAATCCTCGATTATGTACAGTATCGTGGAATCGTACCAAATTTAAGTGTACGCGATTACAAACGACGACGACGACGACGCGGCGGACGACAGCCGGTGGCAAGGGTGGAACGAGTTTCTCCTCTAATCGTACAAAAGACGTGCTGTATAATCGCTGTATAACAAGACGTTTTGGCACAGTGGTCGGCAGAGTCGTTTCACGACGCGACGACGCTCGATTTCTCTCTCTCTCTCTCTCTCTCTCGCGGTCGACATGTAAGACGGTGCGTGTACGCCGCATACAAAAGTCGCTCGTAACGCGGAAAAAGATGCGTTATAGTGTGTAAGTTTTTAGTCGAATACACGAGACTGCGTTTAAAAATATCCCACCCCCTAGGGGGGCAAGTCCGATAAACCTGGCCGACAACGCGTGCCTAAAAGTAAATATCGCAAAGACGACCTTACGAGTGGAGTGTCTATCCCTCGGATCGATTAAGTATTAATACGAGACTTTCTTACGTTTATTCTAGTAGACCATGCAAATTCGAGGGCGCGAGTCCCCCCTCGCGGAATCCGCCAAGTGTTAAGTTTAAAAAGAGGTACGCTTTAGGACCGATGTTTTCTCTTTCCTTTTAAAGGTGTCTTATATAGATCCGCAATTATATATCTACGATCTCACGCGCGTCTCGCGCGTGTAGGTTGAACAATTCGCATCTTTCTTACGCGCCTTTTATCGGTCTTACAACCTAAATACGTCCTGCACGCTCATACATACGCACGCACGCGCGCGCGCGCCACACACACACGCGTACAATAATTTTTATTAACACGATACCTTAATACTCGTTCGCTTAACGTTAGGGAGAAAACGCTCTCCATTGTTAATGGATATAATATCATGATAAGATGCAACGATCACATGTCCTATGTATCCATCGTATAAGGGATCAATATCAATGTTACGTGATGATGGTTAAGCGGTAAAAAAATTCACAAGAGACGTTTCGATCCTTTTCCCGCGTTACTTCGCTTCGATCGACAAGAATCGTGGGATTCTCCCCCACGGGCCTTATTATTATACATAAGTCTTTTTTTTTTACATATATATGTACACGCGTTTGTCGCTATATAAAAGGGCAAGTACGTCTTCGATACGATTATATAATTCCGTACTGATCTAATGCCTATAAAGAACGTTTTCATTACAAAAAAAGATTCATTCGAATCTGAAAAATTCGCAGCGCAAGGTACCTCGATAAATAATCTTGTATTGTTAGTCCTATTCAATTGAACGACGAGATATATCTAGAATTCTACATCCTCTGTCTACAACGTTAAAAACGCGCCCATTGGTTGGCGCGTACGAATTTCCCGTGATAAATTTTACGTTCACAATGATTGTTAACGCTTCATTCGATTACAATTTCAATTTCCGCAGTAAAACAATTTCAGAAAAGTATCACGTTGCTAGAAGTTGAGATTCAATTTAGAATATCTCCGTAAAATAGTGGATACCAACTTGTGCGGCAAAATGAATTCAATCTATCTGTTGTAAAGATAAGTTCTCGTTTTACGCGCGATCAACTCCATCGTCCGATAAAGAAACTATTAGCTGCACATAAATATAAGTAATAAATATAATAAAAGCTGCCATTTTTAGAATTTATCAAGCGGAAGGATTCATCTGCTAGCACACTTATCTATAGACAGTAAAACGTATTATCGTGTGACAGGAACTTCAACTAAACTGAATCTCATTTCTACAAATTAATCACAGATTAAAGACATATCGCATTTGACGAAACATATTATAACGGACGTTATCTTTGTTGCAACTTGTTACACGATCTTGGAAGACACTCGCAATGTGTTATCCTATTTCAGTTTCCGCTACCCTTAACGTCTTATCAAAAGTGAAGACGCCTATCTGGCTACGAAATGTGTCTTGTCTATTCTAGACATTCTCGCTGTTGAAATGCGTAGACAAACAATATATAATGTATGTATGTACATAATAAAACGAATCCTCAAAGAGTAAAACACTCTCGTTTAATATCTTCACGTGGCATCGTAATATATCGCTCGCTAAGAATCCGACGGAATGGGACTTAATCTCACTGGAAGTGTCAAGTATCTTAATAAAAAAAAAAAAAAGATCGAAACGTACGGTTAAAATTAATTGGTCTTCGTACATGAAATGTATTGGTAAAGCGTATACGGACAATACGGATGAGTACGACTAACAATAAGTCGAAATTTACGGTCGCGTGTAAATACGCGGCGTCATATAAAACTAGTATGAGATTCTCTAATGCCACTTTAACAGCAGAACACAGTACTTGAGTTGCTGTAAAAACCTTCAGTACCCTGTCTCTAATGTTAAAACCGGTCGAGACGTATATATATGTATATATGTATATTTATATACACGATAAAAGACTTTCTATGGCACGAAGACGAAAAGTACTGTTGCAATCTCGCGTGCCAGATTATCCCGGCATCAGCATACGGAAGAAAGTGCTCCTTACGGCGCAACGCTGACCATCCGTCCGTGCGCGACGTCAAACGTCGACCACGTCGTTGTTGTTGTAATTGAAGTTTGAATCGCGCAGGAATGAAGTGCGACGAAGCTTAAAGCTGAGGCGACTCTCCTCAACCATTTTCGGCACTTCCGTTGCCTGCGAAGCAACACAATACAATATAGCTCTTATATAAAATTCTAACGAAACGTTAGCCGCATAATCGTAATTATTTAGCTCACATTATGTGGGACGAATTAACTAGAAAATAATATTACACGATATTAATAAAGCCATACGCATGTAAAGAGTTTACGTCAATGTTGGGCAACAATGATCCATTACTTTTGTGATTACTTTGGCGATTAATTAATAACAAGATTGCATTCTGCCCAACTTGGAGCTATGGTACAGTAGTAACACGAGCGGTTATCAGCAAAAACACGTATTTCAACTGTGACAAAAGGACTTCACAAGAAAAAAGTAAATAAAATATACCTTGGCATCTGCTCGGTCGACAGAACGTTGGAGTAGCGACCGCCATGCTGCAGGTGTGGCATGCTCTAAAATAATAGGTAACGGGCGTGGCTTGTACATTAAAGGACATATACATGCGTGTTTTTTTTTAGTGCTATATTAAGGAGCGTAAGGATGCGCGCATCGACGACGCCTAGGATCGAGAAATGTGTGTACGGCGAGTCAACTAAGAAATTAACCATGCGACACAGAGAAGCGAGAATATACCAGGACGAACGGTACATACCGTTCTCCTTCCTGTCCGTCTTGCTCTTGTTCAGGCTCGCCGCCAATTCCCTCACCGATCTCTTCTCCACGCTCGTGTTGCTCAACGAGCTCGCGGTGCTGCTCGCCGATAACGTCGGCGGCAAGGAAGCCGGCCCGCTGACACCGCTGTCGGTCGACTCGTCGAGCGCGTCACCGGAATCGGGCGTGTTGCCGGCCGAGGTGTTCGGACTAGAGCCGTCGCTCAACAGACTAAATTCTCCTGGAAAATTAAGTAAAGTCAGGTTTTTCATTCACCATAAGTTTCCCGTTATCTTTTTTCCTTATTAAATTAGCTTTCTTATGGAGTTTTGCATATTAAATGTTTTCTCGAGATTCTCTATGAACAATTGTGTCACATCTTTCGTCAAAGAGCTAATTCTGAATGTGTCTTACCGGATTTTCGATCAGTAGCCATGCTCCACGGTCGCGGTTTAGGCGCCGTCGCCGGTGGGGTGGGCTTATTTTTCATAAGCGAGCCGTTGCTCTTCCCGTCGCTCGTAGACCCGCTACTCTTCAACGGTTTCAATACAGGAGACTTGGCCGAGTCGGATGTGCCCTTGGTGCCACTGCTGTTACTGTTTATCGGACTTCTCAGATCGTGACCGGTCGACCGTAGCTTGACGGACGAGGAAGACTTATCCGCGTCGGTTGTGGACTTCTTCACGGCACTCTTACGATTCTCCTGGTCCTTCTCCGACGTGCTCGCTCCGAAGGTGTCGTCGATGTCGTGCGAGCCGCGCGGGCTCATGCTGGACACGTTTGTCAGCGTGCTGCGCTTAGAATCATCGCTCGCGTCGTTCCCGGCGGGGCTGCTACAAGTCTCCTTCGCGAAAGCCTCGCCTTTCGATCTCTCGTGGGCCTGAGCACTGTCCGTGGTGTTTCTTCGGGCGAGCGGTGACGCGGTAAGCGGAGAATCACCTTGTGATCTTCTACCGACGAGGGGGGAAAATTTTTCCAAGTTGTCGCTGGATCGCGAGCGTGGAGCGGGCTCTAAAAGCGTCTTTAACATCGGCGAATTGCAGTTGTGCTTCTTTTCCATGTCGGGTGGAATGCTCTTGTGGCTCGTCAGCGATAGATTAGGACTGCCATCCGTTGGGAAGGTATGTAGAGAGCTGTAAATTACAATAGGTAATGTAAAAAAAAAGGTAAAAAAAAGGTTTTAGTCACATACATTGACAAATAATAGAAAAAAAACTGAAGAGAGGAAAAGTGTACTCCGCCAAAAATTGAATATTTTGTGTGAAAATACAAAAAGTAGAATATTATATTTACCTGTCGTCGCTCGTAGGCGATATCAAAGGCGTGGTAGGTGTAGTAGGTCGGAAAAACACGTCAAGACCCTCACCCAGAGCGAGACCGTCGATCGGTTGATCAGGTCTCAACATCGGTCTCGTAGGCGCTCGCGTTTTCGTTCTGCGCGGTCTAGACTTGACCAGATGCTGCAACTGCTGACCCACGGTGTTGGGCAATTCCGAGACGGAATCTAACGACTCGGTCAATGAGTGCTCGGTTTCTGAGATAGCTGCAAAAAACACCAATCATATTTTGCAATCTGACGAATTTACGATAGAGTAATGAATACGAACCTTCCGCTTGATTCTTCGGCAATGACGGCAAGAGATCCGGTATATCATCAGCGGATAAGCCTTCTACCGAATCCACCACGGACTTGGGCCTCAATTTCCTTCCGTGCAGACTTTTACGCTTGTTCGACAGATGTGGCGTCGCCTAAATAAAAAAATGTCAAATTAACGCAAAATCGAATATTCGTATACGATGATCATTCATATCATAATTCGTGGAATATTTTATATACAACTGTTTGCATTTCCATACATACATATTTGCAATACCTACCAGATTAAGATAATCCAATTTCTATGTAAGCGTGTAAATGAAAATAATGTATATTTTAGCTGCAAGCAAATTCAGGAGGAAATATTTATATATGGTAAAACGTATGCGCTTTATACGTTTAAATAACTGTCCAATTGTTCGAACATTAAGATGTTAAAGGATTCGAAATTCTTACCATCGGTGATTGATCGCTGACGCACTGACCAATGGAATCTGCCAGCGAGCATGTCTCCGGCGGACAATCTTCTTCGGACGCGAGGCTGGCTCTGCCAGGAGCTAAACTCATGGAGACACCGCTCGCGCTAGTCACGCCTATCACGCTTCCGCTGCTCATCGAGCCGGCGCTAGGTCGTAAAACATCTGGTGTGCTGCTTCGTGTTCGGCTATCATCGCCAATCTGGAAGTATTTTGTTACATTAGTCCGTATCATTATAAGAGTATCGAAGTATCGTTAACACGGAAAGATCGATTTTAAACATGTTTCCAAAAATAATAATAATTTACTCGTTTAGAGATTCATATCTATTTGTCAAGTTTCAAATTTTATTCAGGGTGTAAGCTATAAGTTTTTGTGAGTTGATAAATTATATTAATATCAATGGAAAACATTATTCAAATTTAAGAACTAATTTCTCTGTTTAAAATTAGATTTCCGAGCTGATCTTTTGCATTAATATTAATTGTGGATAGTTTTTTTTTTAGGATCGACGATATATGATATATTCTATGATATTAAGATTTTTTTTAAACTTACCAAAGTTTTATAACTTCTTGATAAAGACTCGATTACCTCGTCTGTGATTCTGTCAGATATATGCGCCGCAACTGCTAAATTGAGTTCACTGAAAAAGGGAGAAAAGAATTAAAATTATTATGAAAACAAATCGTGATACGTTTATATCGAGATTATTCTAAAATTCTTACTTGACTCTATTAACAATATCTGCGCCAGCTTGTTCGGTAACAGTGGTGTGTATGAATTCGTTATTGATTTGATTTTTCTCCTTGCAGGTATTACGAAGATCGTCTTGCACCGCGATCGGTTCACTCTCATCGCCCCTGATCACCGTTTGCGAAAGTATAGTAGGACATTGCTCATTCGCGCATTTTATCATCGCGTCCAAAGAATCCTGCATCAATCGTAAATTTCTCACATTATACATAGTCGTATCGCTCAGGAAAATAATGACTACTCCAGACTTGCGATTTAAACCAGTAGGAAAGCAACTGTAAAAATCCATTAGACGCACACATACCTGCAGATATACCGTTATAACTTTGTGAAGTTCGTTCGCCATATCGTGCAGCTTTAACTCGATTGGATTATTCTCGTCACGTCTTTGAAGCACTTCGTGTAATCTTGGCAGTAGCTGCAAAAGACGTAACATGAATACTTCAACGTCTTCAATCGAGGCTGATCCTCAATTGAAATTTCCATTAGTCGCACCTGTTTAGAATTATCCGCGTCTTGTATAAGCCCGGTCGCATAATTGATATCGTTATTAGCGTCGCAGCTCTCCGCCGCGAGGGCCTTGATGGTGTCCTGGGTTTGTACGACGAGTCTGTCGACCATTTGCTGCGTGGAGCTCAACAGAAATCCCTGTTGCAACCTGAATGCCTGCCCGTGGCTGTATTTGCACGGCGTGACGTTTCTCTGCAGCAGATCTTGTATCTTCTTGGCTAACTGCTCCGTTTTCTCCGCGGAGGTTTTCATACAAGGTTGCAGATCGTAAATCGGGAACGGCATATGCCGTACGCTACAGTTTCTGCAAGAGTAAAATTATTTTGTGAATCTATCGCATTTCCCTTTTATTTCCGAGCTACGTGTACACACGCGTGCATACTTCTCTAGAGCGTGAACGATGTCCGCGTAGCCTTGTAACGTGATGTTGTTCTTGTCGTATATAATAGTCCGTAAATGATTATTGATCTGCAACGCCTTCGCCAGCAGTCTCGCGCCGGGATCACCTATCTGATTACCGCTAATGTCCAGGGTGTGGAGACACGTGTTGCTGCCAAGAGCGTTGATCAGGTTGTAGAGGTCGCCCTTTAATCGTGAGTCAGGTAGATGCAACGCCTGAAGGACGCAGTCGTCCTCCTGAAGCATTTGTACCAGGGCGTCCATCACGACGGCTATGTGCTTGCTCTTCATACTGGCGGTATTACGTCCCATGTATAGCTGCTTTATCGATTTGTTCTTGCCCACCGCCGTCACAACTTGCGCCAAATCGACGTCCATGTCTGCGAACAAAAACATCGATTCCATATCTATTCTGCTTGAGACAGATTTAAGGAAACTGACTGAAATACTTTTACACAACTCGATCCCTCCTTTCGATCTCGGATAAATAATATTGCCTCAAACTGTACGTACTGCTGTCCGATATATCCAACGACGCTATACACCGAACTCCGTGAATGCACGATTCCAGAACATGCGCGCCCATGGAACCCAGATTGTTTCCGCTCATGTCAAGCTCTAGGCCAACTGTACTTTCGTTGCACGCCAGACCGAGTAGCAGGTGTTTCAATGCCTCCAATGGTAATTTGCACGAAGATATATTTAAGTACTTCAACGAGAGAGTCGCCGTGAAAAATTGCTTAAAACTCGGAGGTATTTCTTTGGTCTTCTTGCTCGAAAAAGAATTCCGGGCAACGTTCAGATGGACTAGATTAGTTGCACAACCCCGTAATAATGCTCCGAATAACTAAATCAAATCGTAAAAAACAATGTTAAGTGTATCGGTCGAGTGGCCGATTGCAGAAGTTACTATTCAAAGATAGAATTAGCTACTTACACATTCTAAAGTCGTATCTGTACCGCTAAGATCTAGGTGTGTTAAACTATTAGGTTGCGCCAAGAAATTGCACAAATTCTGCAATCATTAAATAGACAAATTAGGATTTTAATCGCGATTGAAAGGTCTCTTGCAACTTATCGCCGAGATCAGTCTGCAATTCCATTACGAACTTACATTGACATCGTCTTTCAAGGTGTTCTCCGAAAGATTCAGATATCGCAAACTAGTCGGCATGCTTCTGTTCAAGCTTAATGCATGCGCTATTTGGCTTATACCTTTCCCGGTCAATCCACAGTGGGCCAAATTCAACTTTTGTAAACCTTTAGGCAACTTGCCGATAGGACCGCTGAGATGAGTACCACCTTAAAAATATGTCACAAACTTAGAAAGGTGCATAAATAATAAAAATAATGGAAGCGTTTGCTTGCAGCGATCAATACTATTTTATATATTAATGCGACGCTTATGTCAATCAAATGTAGAACATTACATTATTCAAAATAAAAAAAGAAACTAAAGGGATAAATACTGAAAGTTTCTCTAAAAAATATATAAAATAAAAGTGCATATATTTAGAGAAAAAAAAGTATATATATATATATATTAGTATAATTACTAGGAATAATTAAGATACATGGTTATTGGCACACCTTGCATTAACTTGGCTATTATCCCACACAAGCTAGAGGCTCCTACAAAAAATATAAAAAAAAATCTATTCAGGACACTTTTGACATTTATGGTTAACAGTTGGAAAATGGAGATTGCTTTAACGGGTTGTAGTGCAGATGAAGATTTCAAATACGAAAGGGACACTGAATAAATCATTGAAATAAATTAATATACCTTTGTCCTCGATCATATTGTGCGACAGATCTATCGTTTGCAGCATCGTGTTAGCGTTAGAAATCAGGGCTAACGACAGCTTGTGAGCAAAATCCCTTTAAAACCAAGTACGTTATAAGTATGCGTTAAATACTTTCTCTGTGTTTCAAAGCTAATTGCTGATAAGCCATTACCACTTAATCCCGAGATTGTCCAAATAAAGCTCCTGAATGGACAAGGATCTTCGCATAACGTGCAACAGTCTCTCTAGGGGCTCGTGATTCAGCTTGAGATGGGACGCTCTTAATTTCGTGAACCAAGTGTTATACTCCAAGGCCGAGATAATTGGCACCAAGTCCTTCTGATCCAAATGATCAAAGTCTCTCAAATTCAGCTCCCTGGTGTCGTGCGAAAGGTATATTGTATCGACGTCCTGAAATTCGTATATCTCTGAATAAGATTTTTGTGGCGGACAATTTCATGCATTGTTAGAGCAAGTTTCGGAAAGGATGCCATTAATCTCACCCAGGCCACTTCCTCCCTGTACGGTACACCGTGCAAGTCACACATGCAAGCATACTGAGTGGAGAAGCCGCCGCAGGGCCCAGTGTGTCTTGTGGCTTCTGTGCTCCTAGCTAACTCGCTCCCTCGTATACTCTGCAGTCTGCTAGCTGGTATTACCTCTATTTTTCGTATAATGTAACTGAAAATAACAATTCGAAATACGCGATCAAGGCTGCGGTCCACTTGACGCTATAAATGCTTCGAAGGATTCCTCTTCTCTTTTCTTTCAATGAAGAAAGAAGGAGAAGAAGAACGCTCCAAAGTATTTGTATCGTCAAGTGGACCGCAGCCCAAGTCGGATCTTACGAATGAGAACAGTTCTGAGTTACAAAACAAAAGCGGAACGTACTTTAACGGTACAGTAGGAAAGATATTTCGAATCGCCGTGTGTAAGGCCTCTATCATAGCGTCCACCTCCGTGGTATCCCCGCCGACGCTGTTCGTAGTAAAATTGTAGTATCGCTCTCCGACGGTCAAACATAGCTGATTTGCCCTCCTCGACTCTATGGCCGTTATTTCTAGGTAGTGAAAATGGCAGTCGATCTACGAGCGGAATAAAATTTAAATGCCGTATAACAAACAAGACGAGGGAGTTTGGTGATTGCGGACGAACTGAACTTACTCTTGTGGGTACTTTGGCCGATAAGAGAAAGAGGCGACATGGCGAAAACACCTTGAAGGGAGAACAAGAAAGAATCAATTAAGCTTTTTAACGCAAACAGTGACGAGGGAGAGAAACAAGGAAAGAGAGAGAGGCGGAGAAAGCGATTACTCACGAGAACACGATTCTCCTGTTTATCCTGCTTCGTTTCCAACTTCACCACATTCTTCAGCAGTATCTTCACATGCTTGCCAAGTAGCGCTTTCACCGATTCTGCAAGTAATGAATCATTCACATAACCGTACTCTTAACGCACAAGCTAACGGGACGCCGGACGGAAAGTGGCACGAAGATTCTACTGGCCGGTCGTGCCTTTTTACTGCGTGAAGGAACGACGGGCTGATTAATCACGAGAAATCTCACGCGAAACGACGCGGGACGCGTCGAGAGGCGGGCGAGATCGGCGCTCGGCCGACGACGGGCGAGCGATCGCGCGCGGATGACAGCTCGACGAGCGGACGTAAACACCAGGCGACGTAGTAGTGAGAGAACGAACCGTTTAAATCCTTCGTGAGCTGCGACCGGGTTGACATTTTGCTAGCTGAAGTCTTCCATTGAAGTTCGCCGTCCCATCTAAGGTGCCGTCGTCTCTCTCTCTCTCTTTTTTTGTTTCCCTCCTTCTCTCCTTCTCTCCCGGTTGCTTATTCTCGCTCCTCACCGATCTAGGAGTGCACCGTCGGGACAAAGGGCGATGTCACGAGAAGACGAGCAGGCAGCACAGTAGCGGCCATGTTGGCACCTGTCCGCGATTGGCCTGCGACGACGGTCACCGATGATCGGCGATGATCGGCGACGATGGCCGCGAGCTCCGGAGCGCCGGCGACCCTACCGACGATCGCCACCGGCTTGCGGAGCCGGTACGTTACGCCCTCTCCTCGGGACGGGAAACACTCCGCAGCGGCGAAAACGGAGCAACCTCTATAGCTAGAAAGTGTCTGGAGTCTGGACTCTGGGACCGACACGTGGATAATCCAACAATTCAGAAGGAAATACACGTATGTATCGTGAATCGTCTGCAAAATTGTAAACTATAAGTGAACTGTGATCATTTTAAGCTGTGGATGAAAGAACTGCGTTAAATATATGTCCACGTTACGCTCCGTGACGAATGATTCCAAAGACAGTCGATAATGTCAGAGCTCTCCGATTGTCAAAAACATTATTTTGTCAACTTGTGACGTGACTTGCAGAAAGAGATAATTAATAGCTCAGCTTGCCGATTTTTGCACGATTAATTGTTCGCATTTAATTTAGTTTTATTATCAATCTGTTATTATGTGAGAAGAGGTCGATAGCCAAAACAAGGATATTAATTTAATTTAATCAAATAAAATAGTTTGTTAACAACAATATATTAATGGCAATTGAACGTTTCAACTGTACTTAGTCTTATTCTTCAGCAACAATAATTTAATCCTATTGTTAGTAAACCAGAACCTTTAAACCAATATATCCTTGCTTTGCTTGTATTTTGACAGTTGACCTTACATACATAGCTTAGCTTATAACGATTTCTCTATTTATCTATTATTTAACTTCTCAGGGGTTACATTGTCATTCAGCTTACTTGCAAATGTGACGAAGATCATTATTCTGTTTATTTTACATGTTGCAGAGTCCATCGTCTACACTCCGTACTCGAAGAAGACTTCGTAACTATGACTATTTTAAAGGCGCTGATCGCTGGAGGGCAAGCGTGTCTCAGAAGATCTTACGCTACAGGTTCGAAGTACATTGAAACGACACGGGACAATGATACAGGTAAGAATGCTGCAGTTTTGATCAACTTCTATCATACAGCCGTTTCTCTCGAATTTCATTTCACTCGATGATTGAACAGGGATCGAGATTATATCTATGGCAAGAAAACCTGTCAACAGTTTGAACACAGAGCTGTTAAGTGAATTGAACGCAGCTTTAGTAGAGGCTCAAAACAGCCGCAGTAAAGGTGTCATATTGACGTCGTCCTTGCCAACCGTATTCTCGGCGGGACTGGACATCATGGAGATGTGTACGACTGATAAACAGAAACTCACTGATTTCTGGCAAATGTTACAAGACACTTGGTTGACTATTTACGGCCTGACTATACCGATCGCTACTGCTATCAATGTACAGAGCCTTTCAAGTGTTACTGTATACGTCTAGCATGTCTCTGCTCAATATTTAATGGGATGCTTCTTTCTGCACAGGGCGCCAGTCCTGCCGGAGGTTGTCTGTTAGCAATCTCTTCGGAATACAGAGTTATGGTTGAAGGTAAACATACCATAGGATTGAACGAAACGCAATTGGGTATTGTCGCTCCAAAATGGTTCAGAGATTCGTATATCTCGGTGATAGGCTATCGACAAGCCGAGATAGCACTTTTAAGGTACGTAAGATATTTAATAAATATGTACGTAATGTGTTTAATAAATACGCGACAAGATCTTATATCATATAACTGTTGCATTTCAGAGGATCTCTATTTAAACCTGAGAAAGCGTTGGAGCTCGGACTCGTGGATGAGCTGGCTAAAGATAAAACGGAAGCGATTGAAAAGTGCAAAAATTATATATTATTTTACAATAATATACCAGGTAAGAATACCGTACTATTATATACATTTTGCATTGATGCACTAATCACATATCGTTATCGATAAAGGTTTGGGCAGGGCTGTAACCAAGTTGGAGTTACGAAACGACGTGATTCAGTGGCTGAAAAACAATAAGGACGCTGACACCAACCAATTCGTGAGCTATACACAATCACCGAAAGTACAAGCTGGTCTCAAACTTTATGTTGAACATTTGAAGCAGAAGCAGAAGCAATAGATATCTCGATAAGAGACTATATTCCGTTTTATACTTATACATCAAAAGTTTGTATATTTTATATATATATATATATTATCTTTTATATCACAATATATATTTTCATACTATGTGTTAACAAATGTGACACTCACTTCACTCTATTTCCTGAATTTTATTCCGTACCGTGAAAAAAGGCAAGAAAACGTTATAACAGATTAATCATTAATTTTCCAATATACCGTCATCGCCTAGGTCAATGTCCTCCAAATCTAACTGTTGTGGCAAGCTTAACGAATTAAGTTGTTGCTGTTGAAATTCAAAAAAATGCGATATTTCCAATATTTGCTGACGATTCCTTGTATTCTCATCCCTGTTGAATACAAGGGATGACAATAATTAACATTTTTCTATGAATTTTTCTGTTTATGACAACTTTCCTATAAAATTTCTCTATTAAAATGATAGTTACTTACGTGATTAACTGATCGATGTAGTCTTTGAGCCAATTGTCGAGTCGATTTATCATGCGCTTCTTTCGATCGTCTATCACCTGTAGATTATGCTTGTCAATTATCATTGCTATTTATTTTAACAATTTCAAACTTTTATTGTTTACCCGTAAGTGTATATCGTGCGAAGCGGCAAGAGTGGTGGCCAAAGTATCCTTGTCGCAGCACAGATCCTTAAGATGTGATGGTATGTGTGCCTCGTCCTCAAAACCGCTTAGATAACGTGAAACTAACTCGTTTATAACATTGTTATATTTAATCTCCGCGTTTCGTAACAGGGAAAATTGTCCTCGCGCGGTTTCTAGGAACGACTCGACCATGTCTGTCATATTAATCCTGAACACCTCGTTTATATCCTTTTTTTGACAAAGAACAAAGTCGCTCTTCCAAATCCGATTTATTTTACGTTTATTTTTTATAAATCATTAATGTCATACGCGTACCTCCATTTGATCATGCAATATCATTTCTTTAGACATTAATTGATTTCGCGCCTTGGACAATAAATCATCGAATTCATTGAATAATTCCCTTGCTTTCGCGGCCGCGTTCTCGGCCTCTTCTTCCTGCTTTTCTACCAAAGCTTCTATCACATTTTTTATATTCGCAAATATCTTTGTCCTTTTCTCGAGTACGTCATCCACGATTCTTATACGGTAAAGCAAAGAAGGAAGTTACATATTAAATGATACAGCCGTTACACATAATAATAATAGAAATAGATTGCGATGGTCAAAATAAGTAATCACAGTTTTAAAAGTATAGACTCTTATTTGATATAAATTGTTATTTCTTTTACCTTCTCGCTTCATTTTGCGTATTTTCCTTGCCTTCGTTAACAGCAGCTTCAAGCAATCTTATGTCCTCTGTTCTCTTATCGTTCTCTCGTAAACCCAGCTCGTATAATTCGTGGCATATTGCAATGAACGACGTTTTGTACTCCTCGAATGCGCTCTGCGTATTTTCGTTTATCGTGGACAACGTTTTGCCTGCTGCTCGCGTCGATGCATTTTAAATAAATTGTATGTATAGACAGCAGGAAGAAACGAGATATAAATCTACCTTCATCGGGAGAGAACATTTGTTGAAACAGGTAATCTCCATCAAGGTGCTCCACGTACGACGCAGACAGCAATGCGATCTTGTCTTCGAATTCTCGTTGCAGCGCCAATTCCGTTCGCATCTTTGCCTCGTTTTCTTCGAGATTGCTGATTACACGACTACGGAAATGAAACGTCATAATTATTCATTTACAATGCAAAATATTTGAAGGATTTTTCTTCGCTTTACTATGTTTAAATTTAATCACTAATGTTTATCGATAGCGGATTGACGCTGACTCTCGGATATCATTCTGTATTGATAATAAATTAACTGAGGCACAAATGCAAACAGATAGTCCAAGTATCCGTCCGTCTCCGTGCAAGGATTGTCGCACATGTTCAAACTTTTGAGCGACTTGAAGCCACGTAGATATACAACCTGCATAAATAAAACTTTATGAATGAGTTTATAAAAGTGATTATTTATAATAATTCAAATTATACATTTAAGATTATCTTAAAATTACGATCTTGAGATGCCAGAGTTATCACATTGACCGAATGGGATCTTCAAAAAAATTATTTAAGATCAGATTACTTGAGACGATTTTAAATACAAGATTGAATTATGAATACCAAAAAAGCGCAAGAAGAAGATGCGAGACATTTAATCATATTTACGTGATTCCAGTCGTCGATCCTATTTTTACCGATGTTTAAAATGGTCAACTTCCTCAAGTTGTTTATACCCTGAACGATCGAGATCTCGTTGCTGTGCAGAAGCAGAATCTCCAGTTGACGTAAATTGTTCAAGTTTTCCATAATCTTAATACGATTAAACGAGAGGTCCAGTTCTCTCAGGTGACAGAGCTCATCCAGGTTCTCGATTCTCTCGATAACATTGTGAGACAGCGACAGTTTGACCAAGTTTTTCAACAGCCAGAGGTGATCGATGTTTAAGATCTCTGCGACGTGATATATGGAGAAAAATTAGAATATTAAAATCAAATTATCGAGTAACTATAGCGATGTGCGGGCAATACATAATAAATAGATATCGATGTTCTCGGTCATCTTACATCTAATTCTTGCGAGTTTTATTTCACCTTTGTGCTCTTGAACTACACATCGATTACTATTCAGTCTTGAAACATAGTCTTATGTCATAAAGTGGAAATGCAATTTTATATTATTAAATTGATATTTAATACAGTATTTATAATTAAATTTTCTACTTAAGATTGTTTTATATAATATGTATGTGTCTCTCATTAAGTGGTCCCGAGACTTTACTACGAGATGATCGTGTAATATACTTCGAGACTATACTTGACCCTCCAAAGCCACACCTCTTTTTTTAATATGCCCCGGCCACACTGGGGTGGCCGCCACTCCATGTGGCCTCAAAGGGTTAAGACAATTTTAAATATAAAATCGGACTATGAATATCGCAATTTAATTTGTTACTGAAATCGGCTTGTCGATATATTATTCTCAACATTATTTATAGCGATACGTGCGCACGGCTGCTGCCTACTGAGGAACTCGATGCGAATCTCTTGCAATTTATCCAGCTCGATTCCGTCTTGAAGAAACAGGCGGCCGCCTTCTTTCTTCGGTCCCTGCTCGATCGCCAGAGAAAGGAGCAAGCTGCGCGTTATCACGCCAGGCTCCGTGGCTTCGCGCAACGCGCTGACCGTATCCACCCTGTGCATCCCGTTTCACACCTCGATTTCAAGCTCGCAAACAGCCTAACTTCGCAGCCTAACTCCGAATCCAGAATTCGTTTGAGATTCTTCCTCTTCTTTAACAAATCGGCTGGTTCCAGGCAATCTCACCGTCGACATCTTCCATTAGAAATTGTTTGCGTTGCCCGCGCAACGGTAATGAGGCGGGCTGAGTTTTTCGCACGTGTTTAAAGGATGGTTCACCAGTAGTGGTTCTCAGGTGTCCTTATATTTTTGGGTACATCTAAAACAAATTGTCGTCGGTGTATTGAAAACGAGTTCAATAAAATTCGCAACTTCATCGGGTGTTTGTAAAAGGGTGAAAAAATCACTTTAAAAAAATGGGCGAAATATTATTTCACTTTTATTTCCTACTGTTTTGTATTGTTAGAAATAAAATAATAAGCTTTGTAATTGTCTTAAGTTTCGACTTAAGTATGACTTTAACGTAAAAACGATGCATTTTTAGATATACGTTTATGTGAACTGATTTAATTGTTTATTTTGACGAGTAGAATACCCTTGAAGGAGCGGCCCACAATCATACCCAGTATTGCGCATAATTACAGCGCCTGGCTCTTATTGCCTCTTTCATTATTATCATTTGATGAAAATGTGAGCATCGTTTATCTGACAATGAGCGGTCCGCATAAATAAAACCACTTCGTCGCCGTTGCCGTTCCACTCAAACTGTGCTGTGCGTGGATTTGGCGCGAGATATTACCGTGTCTCTTAAAAGTAATTTTTTGATGGTCTAAATTCTAAATTACCATACAGACAGACATGATGTGTATATAATTTAACCGGTTTCCAAAAAATCGGTAACGAAAAATCTTCCATAAAAATTATCAATAAAAAAAATTTAGCTTCATATCTCAAAATTTTCGCAAATTGAGCAATCACGTACATTTTTTAAACAAAAATCGGAAACCCTTTCATTATTAGCAATTTTTCTAATTCTATTACATTTTTCAGTTCTTTTTCTACCTCTATTTCATATATGTATAATTCTTTAAGATTCGGTCAATTAATTCCCGAAAAATTGGAACAATTTCAGTACCGGCTTCCAAAAAATCGGTAACAAAAAATTATACACTTTATAGCACACCCCGGAAAATTCTACCCCTGTTTCATATACAACTTTTTAAATTTAGTTCATTAACGGTTCATTAACGAATGAGTAGTTCGCGGTAAGACAAATAGACAGACAGACAGACGTCAGGTACTTATAACACTGGTCAACAATGGTTTTGTTGCCCTTGATGTAAGAGTGGTTTCGAATACTTTTATGCCGACAATTCACGAAACTATGGATGGTTTTAGAATATTGGCTCTGGTTTTTTTTTAATGAGCTGAAGATCCGAGTTCAAATCCGACCGAAAATTGTCGGTTTTTATTTGATCGCCACCTCTCGGAAGGGTTAATGGCAACCCGCCGAGAGTGTATCTCTAAATTCTCTAAGAAACCAGAAGGGAGGCCTCGGATTTTATACAGGCCGAACTTTAGAAGGCCATGGCTTGATCTTGAGCTATACAGTGCCGAAAAAGAAGAAAAATTTGATAAATTATATATACATTAAATTATATACACACACAATTCTATTGTGATTTCGCGCAAATTCTAAGTCGCTTAAGTTCCCATCTACAACAGGTGTTTTAAGCCCTAAACCTTAAGAAATTGACCAATCACAGTCAATTATTCTTCTCAAATTCAACTTTTCTTGATTGAACAATTTCTTAAGGCTTAGGGCTTAAAACACCTATTGTAGACGGACACTAGGACGAACTTCAAACCATAATAAAGCATAAAAACCTGGCGTAAGTAATAAACAAAAAAAGAACAAAGTAAGTTATTCAAACATTTTTTATGTTGTAGATATTTAATAAATAAAATTTATGAAATATTCATCACTCTTATTGTGATGTGTTTGCGTAGCCTATTAGAAAATTATAGCTTTATCTAAATGGTATATCTGTCGATTATATTTTGCTAAAAAGGTTTTTAATTAATGACAGTAACGTTTATTATATTGCTTATTTTTTATTTGAACAATATGTAACATCAGTATTCTGTACATAGTTGACACTATCAATATCTATTAACTCTTATAAGCCCTCTGTGTGTAATTATTTCGATTAAATTCCTCTTATTAAATGCGTAAAATATGTACATTCATTAAATAATTAAACTTTATTTAGAGATTAAAATCTTTTTGATTTTTTGACAACTTTTTAATTGTTATTATTTATTTTGTTGCTTTTATTGTTGAAAAATGGGAAACGCAAATCGGTATCTATGAGATTTTCTTCGATCCATTTGTCTGCCTTCGCATTTATTTCCGCAGTAAATATATTTTTCCAATTGGTGCCTCCTTTTCTCACGAAACTTTCCTCGGCGATGATCCCACAAGCTTTCAACTCAGAATAGTTGACCATCGGATTGTTCCGGAAATTTTTAATGTCCAGATAATCGACAACCTTGCTAACTTCTTCGTCAGTGTATGTCTTATTCAGAAATTTCGCTACTTTCTTAATTGCTTTCGGAAAATCCTAGAAAACGTTTAACTCAATTTTCTTTACATTCTCATATAAAAGTCAAAAAGCAAGCAACAGGGTGTTAATTATTTAACAAAAAAAGTTATTATTTAATTAATATATATGAGTTCAGTTTGAAATTTAAATATTTGAAGTAAAAAGATGAATTATAATCATATTATTTTCATTATTTAAAATATGTTACAGTATATCATAAAACATTTTTTTAACATTGTATGCACTAAATGGTTAAGATAAGAAAGAATAAAAAAAGAAAAACAGAAGAGTTTATTTCATACAACGTATCACTTTTAAAAATTAAAATAAAGAGATTATTTCATAAAATATTATATTGAATATGTGTTAAAAATGTATATTTGGTACATTGAGAACAAAAATAAAATACTTACGTGTGTCATCTCCTCGTAAAACATGAACAAGAGATTTTTGTTATTTCTCAAGGCCCAGGCCTCTTTTAAATGTGCCCAATATGGACTCCAGGGAGCTTGAAGAACAAATTGTAAAGAACAAATTATATTAAGAATTTTTACCTTCTTTCCCCCCCCTCTCCTAAAGAAATAAATATAAAGCAAATGCATTTTTTGGTCAAAAATATAAACAGATATACAAAATGCCTCAGAAGGAGAGATCAATGATTTTTTTTAGAAGTCATAATATATAGGTCATTCTAAAAAAAAGATTTACTCAGACATGCGTCATTCCGAATAGTTTGCAAGATGAAGCTATTCGAATTTGGAGACTAATACTTTTTTCCTTTCTTTTAATTGTACGTAATTTTGTTCATAAGATTATAATAAAATTTGACGAAAGGAAAGTAGATACATAATGTGTTTTACTCATTTGTATATTAGTTGCTGTATAAATTGGTCAGAACGTTGTTAAGAGGCAACAAGTTCTAACTGCATAAATCAGGAGTCATCGTTGAAATTAATGTTCTAGCGCAAGAATATAATTTTGAATTTTTTTTCTTAAGTTTTTTATTTTAAAGTCTTTTCTTTGTTAAATTTACTAGAATTTTAGTGTTCAAATTTTTGCTATATTGTGCGTGAATTCGGCATTTTAAATTTTCAACTTCATATTCATATTCAACTATTTCTAAAACCTCTATTATATTAATTTTCGTTTAAATTAAAAAAAAAAAAATTTATTTGTGATTTTAACATTGATTCTGCTATAAATTTTTTTATCTCTTGCTTCATATTTATATATTAACTCCTTAAGAATGCTTATTATGTATAACAAATCAATCGCCTAGACAAGACTTACAGGAAAAGTTTCGGCATCCGTAGAAGTGTTAATAATACAAATATCTATGATAAGACACAGAGAGAAATGAAAAACACTTATTGCTTCCTCTAAACATTTTTTACTTACTCAAACTATTTTGAAAGTAATTCCAAAAGGTGGCAAAATCTCCGATATATCCTTGAGTCTTTATGGCACAATTAAGATGATACCAAGAGATTGCAACGTCTTTCGGATTGCGAGCAACGTAGACGACCTTTCGAAAAAAACGTCGCAAAGTCATAAAGACATTTATTATACTAATAAATTCCTCAATTTTCTACATTCAGTTATTACCTTGCAACCAACATCTAAAAGTCCAGGAAGCATGCTGAAAGGAAAGTGGCTCTTTATGAATCTAGGCGACGGCATTTTGGCAATAACTTCGTAACCGGGCTTGGCTATCTCCAGACATAGCTCTTGCTTCGCAATGTTCTCCTTATTCATTGACAAAAATTCACGAGTAACTTCCGGATGATTAAACATACTAAATTCAAGAAATGGAAACCTCTCTGTAAGTAGACGCTTTCTTGCCAAGTCAAAGTTCAAATTGTTAGCCAACAGCCAGATAAGCTCCGACGTCACAGTAGTTCCTAAAAATAACAAAAGTAGCAACAATTTCTTTTATCGCGTTTCAAAAAAGGCAATTTATCTTTTCGCTCATTAGAACGATTCAAAATGAAATTCTAAAAGATTGAAATAAATAGAATACATTAGCGTAGATTTAATTAAAAAACATTTAAAAATAATTTTTAAAAAGTTGAAGAATTAATTAAATGATTTTGAAGAAAATTAGGATAAAACGTTTGAAAAATAGTTAGAACGTTAATTAAAAGACGCCTAAAAAGTTAGGACGTTAAATAAAAAATAAGCCCGATTAAATTTGAATATCTTCGTAATGTTTTTCTGTAATTTAAATCTTCATGTTTTATCGTTCGCGTCTATAGAATATTAATTTTCACGCTAGAAATATCTACGTGTCAAGAAATCACTATTGGCAATCAATATACTGACCTGATCTGGGATGTGACAAAATCCACGTATCATCCGGCCTGGCTTCGAAATTATAGAAGCCGGCACCCTGTTCAACATATCTAAACGGGAAAAAGTATTTCTTTGGACCAACGAGCACAAAGCCAGTCCTCTCGCCCTTAAACAGCTTCAGCATCTCCCTCGTCTTCTCTTCCGGCAGACGCTCGTATTTCGGAGGTTCTCGGGCCATCTTCGTCACTCATTCCTTTCCCAATTGATCGTCGATCGTTCAAAACTCGACAGTTAGCTGATTGTTATGATTTGCAGTCGCGATCAGTTATAAGAAACGGAGAGCCTCGATGATCACCAGCTTGACACGCGCGAGCAAATCTCCGAATGAGAACTTCGCGCGTGAATTGATGCGGTGTGGGGGACTTTCCTCTTCCACCGGCGGCTTCTCCAAATTCTCAATGGCTTCTCATTATTTCACGGTCACTTGATGTTTCTCAGTTTGGTAGTAGATTATTTGCTCAGATATTAATCGCAACAAATTATCTACGTTTACATTAAACTCGTGTTTTGTCCGTAGAGTTTGTTGATAATCTGATAGTAGATTGTCGACAGAAATCGAGCAGAATCTGTAATTTCGTAGACATTTAAATGGAATACATTATTTAAATATATTTAAAATAATTTATTTATATAAAATAATTTATTTATATTTAAATAATGTATTCATATATGATTACAAGAATTTAGGTCAATCGGTCATAACTTTCTTCATAACTTTCTCCATAACTTTCTCCAAATTACCGTATTTTCTTCTTCCTTCCTAAAAAACGTAACGATTCTAGGTAGAACATGATAAAACTCATAATGACGTTATCACGACTTTATTCATCGCTTAAAAATCACTTTAACGTCACTTTGACCTCATCATAACGGTTTTGCTTGGGATCTTGCTAATCTCAATCAAGAGGCGTTTAGAAGAAAATCAATTCTTATATTTCACATTTCTTAAATTTAATAAATTGTTTAAGATGTCGGAAGTATATTTCAAGAATATTAGATAGAAATAATGTAAAATAATAATTACGGAAATTTTTGAAGGGCGCTTTGCACCACTGTCGTACGACCGATTGACTATCTCACAGATGTTCTAAACGAAGATACGCTCCTCAGCGTCAAAGAACACGGGTTTCTTAACAAAACTTAATTCTCTTAGTGAGACCTATCTCCCCCTAAAGTACGTCCCATAGATCCCATTATACCCTCTGTATATAATAACTATTATAGAGATCGGATTTTTATGTAACTGCATATTTTTTTAGCACTGAACGCATATTCAGTGATTATTCACTGATATCAGTGTAAATGTAAATATAAATGTAAAGTATGCCATTTCAGTGACTTTTTACTGATTTAGATTTAGAGAGTGCGCATTACATGACTTAGTCGAGTTTTTCTTTCCGTATACGTTTCTACGAATTATTTCTTTCTAATTATTTTTTATTATCAACTTCTGCAGAGGTTCAACATATACAGAAAGAAAAACTTGACTCAGTCATGTAATGCGCACTCTCTAAATCCAAATCAGTGAAAAGTCACTGAAATGGCATACTTTACATTTACATTTATATTTAGGGGAGACCGGGACACCATGAGCCACGGGGTACCATGGATCATTGACTGTTTAAGGTAATCCAGAATGTTTAGGTTGATTCAACTAGTATCATGTGACAGTTATTTCGTTGCCCATACTTCGTATCTATAGGTGGCAGTCATCAAAGTCCGTAGTCTTGAAACGCACGTGACACAAATGGTTTTCGTGATGCGTAAATAACTTTTTAACCATTTAGAAACGTTTCAATAGTGTTTTTGTAGTAAAATATACACGTACTTAAAAGTAGGTGTAACTTTCTAGCATCTTTTGTTATTTTACTGCACTACAGATAATCATGTATTAATAATTTTTTTGATTACGCGCGTTTCACCGTTTTCTATATTAAGTGTATTCGGGGCACCATGGGTCACACACGCCACCAAGGTTGATGATAAATAAATAGGTTGATGATATATGTTATGTTTGATTCAAGAAAACATGTCAAAAAAGTTAGTTTTTCTAATTTAAAAAAAATTACGTAACGTTACTCACGTATGAGTGATAATTTATTATAGATTTTTTCCATTTTTAAATATATTTCCATTAAATTTGTAGGCTATTTTTAATATAATTTGTAGAATTTTGAATCTTCTATTCAAAGTTTTATGCTGTTTTTGATATATTAAAAAAAACGTCTAGTTATATATAAATGTGAGATACATATAAGACCCCGAAATATAGGATGGCAGTTTTACAGTTTTGTTTTATAAGAATTGTTATTAGATTTGTTTTATTCATTTATCAATTTTAGTCATAATTTTTAATAAAATTCTTAAGCTACTATACAGAACGTTCAAAATTAAAACATTAGATTTTTAAAAATTTTATTTCTTAGAACTTGGAACATTTTTTCATCTAAGAGCTAAAAAATTCCATATTGTATAATAGTAATTAACGGACTTTATAAGTTATTTTTTTAGGGTAGAGATCAATATAAATAAGAGATCACATGCTGTAATAAAAATTATTCTGTGTGTTTTGTATTAATTATTTTGCCTTGGAGAAAAAATTATACAAATTTTATATTCTGCAACAGCTTATTTACATTACCAATTTTTGTAAAAAGTTTTGTACTTCTAATGTATACATATATATGTGTGTATGTATTATTAAATATACTTAAGACAAAGTAAAGTAACAATAAGAAATATGAAATTATAGGTAGAATATGTTTGTAGCCTACAAAAAAATACAAATGTTTTTGTATTTATGTACAGTAAATATTTTAAATTCTTATACTAATACTTCTATTTATAATAGCGATTTATAATATAATTATTATAACAAACA